TCTCCGCCCCTTCAATACAACATGGACACCCTTCTGGGCATTCAAGACTCCACATATTCCAGAGAACATATACCCTCTCAAATCCAAGGTACTCAACGAGATGATGTTCTTCTTCAAGTCTGAAACATATCGAACCTGGCCAAGTGTTTTGATTTTTCCATCCACCAACTTCAATCTAACTCTTCCAATACCAGCTACCCGACAAGATTTGTTGTTTCCCATAACAACGACACCTTGTGTCATCGTCCGAAATATCTAATTGTCTCCCACGATTTACAGCTGAATTATTCTTACCCTGCAACTTCTCGCAATCCCTCTTGATGTGTCATTTCTTCTTGGAGTAAAAGTAGACCCTATTACTGAAATCCATCCTCGACTTGCCCCTTTGCCGATTACCATAAACCACAAGAGCTTCCTCATCTCTAGAACCAGCTCCAACCAGATGCCTCATCTTCTCCTTTGAGAACAAGGCATCATACTTGTTTTCAATGGTGAATGTCACGACTGTATAGAATCGTGTCCCTAAACGACGAAAATAAACTAGGCAGCGAGCACAACAGGATTAAGCCCAAGTCATCTTCATCATATTTTACCTCTAACGTCTCTAGATCAGCGACGATCTCCTTAAACACGGCCATATAATCTTCCAGTGATCGACCTTCTGCTATGCGATGAGAATAAAGCCTCTGCTTTAGATGCAATTTGCTGGTCAGACTTCTGGTCATGCACAGTTGCTCCAGTTTCAATCACAATGTAGCTGATGTCTTCTCCTTCAAGATATCATGGAGAATGTTGAGATAGATAAAGATAAATCTGCGAAAGTGTCCTGCGATAATTCCGTTGCTTCTCCTCTATTTTTCAACTTGTGGGCATCCTATCAAATCCCAACAAAGCATCATCCAAATCTATATGCGCCAATATAACTCTCATCTTCACTTGAATCGACGAAAATCTTGTACTGCGATCCAACAGCAGAATATCAGACTTCATGGTAGTCATCAATAACAAAAAACCTTAAACAATCAAATACTTACTCAGTGGAACTGCTGAACCTTGGCTCTGATACCACTGGTTAGGAATTCGAGAAGGTGATATGGCGCGATATGAAGTATAGATCGCACAAACTAGTAAATAAGAATAAGATTTAAAAGAAAGCAAACAAGAAATTGACAGAGGAATCGAATATTTTATTAATGACAACTAATAGAAAGAAAATACAACTTTTAGCAACTTCTAAAATCTACCAAACTGAATGAAGAGTCTACTATTTATAGAGCGTAGAAATATCACAAAAATGGAAACAAGATTAAAAAAAAAATACGTGGAATAAAGGAAATAATATTTTTCCAATAAAACACGTGAAATAAAGGAAATATGTTCTCAAAATATTTCACCTAATTTGGGTCACAAAAACTAATAGGTAGCACCAAGGCAAGAATTATACTCTTTAATTTTTTAAAGAAAACTTTCTTTCACGGAAGCTCTCGAGTATTTGAAAATGAGCGGAGATGAGGAAGGGCGTAGGACACAAAAAAGATGTAGTAAGAGAGGCATAAAATGAGGGAAGATGGTAACTTGAAGATCGGGAAAAAAAAAAAAGAAAGGGCTTCAACGGCGGGGTGTTGGGTGAAAGGATTAAACGGAGGAGAAAGATTTTCTTTAAAAAAATAAATTGATGTTTAAAAAGAGTTTAAACTATTATTTTTGAATCTTTTTGTTTTTTCTTTTTGCCAAATGAGTTATCATTTGGCGATCTTTGGTAGCACTTTATAACATTTTCTAGCTTTTTTAATTAAAATATCTAACCTAATCAATAAGAAATTCTCTCTTGACAATGATATTTGTTGTATATGTAAATCGTAGATGTGAAAATATGCTGAATTCATCTATGAAAGGGTATAAAAAAGAAAAAAAAAATGAATTCTAAAGATTTTGGGCAAATCCAAAGAAATTTTTTCTATAAGTTCATCACAAAATATTTTTAGATCCCAATAGACCCAATCTCATATAGTTGCCAGTATCTCCTAAAAGCAAAAGAACAAATATTTGTTTATCGTTAAAATAATCGCTTGTGTAATAGAGGAGGAGGACTTTAACTTCATGGTCACACAAATTGAGAAATTTGTCATTAACGAACACAACAAGGATGATTAGAGCGATTTGAAATTTCAAAACCTGGTTAAAGTTCAAATCTTTCAATTTGAACTCAGTTTTCACTAGTTGAAAAAATAAATTTAAATCGAACCTTGAAAAGGATAGAAGACGATAGCAAGAAGGCAGAAAATTAAATCCTTCAATTTTTTTCTAAAAAATTCCTTTTTCAGTAGCTCTCGAGTTTTTAAAATGAGCTGAAATAAAATGGAAGCAAAAAAATGAAGAGTAACATTTTTTAACATCAATAATGACATGCAATTAACGTCAAGTATTAGTTTAAGTAACAATTGCATGTTATTAAATTATAGAGTCACTTAAATGTAATATCACATAATTCATTTAATTGAACTTATCAAATGTGGTCATTTCAATTTTTGCTAGATGGCATTATTCAAAAATGAAACAAGGTCATGTTTGATAGCATGGAAAATGGGTGGAAAAAAAAGACATTTTCCAACTTTCCATGTTTAATAGACAAACTACACTATTTAAACCGTACAAAAATTTGACAAATCTTTTCCCTCTACGCGCCATTTTGCTTTCGTGTGAGGAAAGGATTTTCCCACCTTTTAGGTGGGAAAATTAATTCTGGGTTCTGACATTTTTTTTTCTTTTTTCAAATTTTTTTTTATACAATGGAAACAAATTTTATAACCAAGTGTAAAACGAATTCACTTTCATGGACAATTTTGATGCAAACGAATGTCAAACGAATACTAAACTTTGATTAAAAAAAATGATTTTTTAGGAAACAATATTTTTTTTTTATTTTTTGGCAATGGAAACAAATTTTATAACCAATTGTGGAAAAAATTATCACTTTAATGGACAATTTTCATGTAAAATAAAGTCAAACGAACACAAAATTTAAAAATTTTTCGGGT